TGGAGCCTTATCTCAGGTGAGTATCTAATATCGCTTATAATTTTTGAAAGGTTGAAAATGGAGTCTGAGTTCTTAAGAATTGTAACCATTCTACACCGTTATCTGTAGAAGAGAATTTTTAGAGCATTTATTTAGAGAAACATTGGCATCATCTAATACCTTGAACACAAAACAATTTCTAAAGGCTTTGACAATTTAAAAAATTATTTAAATATAATTACTGGTATGTAAATTATAATAGCATATTTAGAATTTTGGAAACTATATTCTTTAATATAAAGAGAATATAACATCTTATACGTAGCCAGAAAATTATGACCCTAGAGCTTCTTTAGAAGTTATCCAGTGTGGCCGGGTGTGGTGGCTCATGCCTGTAATCCCAGCACTTTGGGAGGCCGAGGTGGGAGGATCGTTTTAGCTTAGGAATTCAAGACTAGCCTGAGCAAGAGCAAGACCCCATCTCTACTAAAAATAGAAAGAAATTAACTGAACAACTGAAAATATATAGAAAAAAGAAATTAGCCGGGCATGGTGGTACATGCCTGTAGTCCCAGCTACTCAGGAGGCTGAGGCAGTAGGATTGCTTGAGTACAGGAGTTTGAGGTTGCTGTGAGCTAAGCTGATGTCACGGCACTCCAGCCTGGGCAACAAAGTGAGACTCTGTTTCAAAAAAAAAAAAAAGAAGTTAGCTAGTGAGTATGTCTATATGTCTTCAAGAAGAACTACCCCTAAATTATCTGCTTTAGTGAAGATGGCTACTTCTTACTCTAATACTTTTATAAAAGTCAATTTTTTTGTTCATTTTTTTTTACTCTTCATTGTAGCTTGGTAATAGCTGGCCACCCCCTGTTTAACTCTTAAAGATCTAAAAATAAGTGTTTATATTTTGGATAAATAAAAACAAAAACAAGAATAAACTGAACATAATAAACAGGAGAATATGGACGAAATGGAAAAATAAAAAATTTAGAAGTAGGTGAAGCATTTCTCAGTGAAAGTTAGTTGACATCAAATAGATTTACGAAAATGGGGGGAATTAACCCCAATCCAGCCACTTTTTTCCTTTTCAATTTTTTAGCAACACCCTATAAATTTTCTCATTTTGCTCTTTCCTAAGGATATAGAATTTCTTCTCAATTAACTGATAATATTTTAATTATTTCAGAAAAAATTAAGGGTTGGGATTGTGAGGTTCCTGAGTATAGGTTATCTTTTCATTCATCAATCCTCCTATCTGGCACATAGTAGGTATTTATTAAATGATTATTGAATACATAGATGAACATTTTGCCCTAGCAAATGCAAAAGGTTATTTATTTATTTTAGCAAAATGTGTTTTTGGTTTAAGTTTCTACAGTTTTATCTTAATTTCAGGGCATTCTATGATCAATTTTTATAGTTAAAATATTTAAAATTTAAGGTTCTTAACCATCATAATTATCTCTTAATTCTGTACTAGCCAAGAGTATCCATCATCTGTACCATATAAATTATTTCTCATATGCCTAGTTGTGTGCTCAGATATATGCTTCTATTTAATATGAATTTAATAATAGGTAGTATATTTTCATCATCTATAGAGTAGTCCCAGGATATTAGATAGTTTGGTAAGAATCACCTGTACATCAGGGAATAGAATTTATAAAATAATTTTATTTAGTGTTTAAAAATCTATTTTTAAAAGAAGAAAAGAATATTTTTATAAATTTTATGCAGTTATGAGAATGCAAATCTAAGAAAACAGTAAGATTATTAGATTAACAGCAACACAATCTAAAGTAAAAAACAATCTATAGGTAAAATTCTTAGATTTATAAGCAGAGGAATAAAGGATTTAGTATCTATACCTACTATCCTGTAGAGTACCTTGTTTTATGAGGTTGATTTTCCATTGGAAATGCATCTAATATAGTGAGAGGTGGAGGGGATACTATCTAAAATGTTTTGGCTATTTCAGATTCATATGCATGGGGACAATTACAAACAAACCTTACTTCAGCATTTCCCAGACATTCTTCCTCTGGAATATGGTGGTGAAGAATTCTCCATGGAGGACATTTGTCAGGAGTGGACAAATTTTATAGTGAAGTCTGAAGATTATCTCAGCAGCATTTCTGAGACCATTCAATGAGAAGTTATTTCATGTGAATAGCTTTCTAATTAAAAATACATGAATGAGGGGCTGGGCGCGGTGGCTCACGCCTGTAATCCTAGCACTCTGGGAGGCTGAGGCGGGCGGATTGTTTGAGCTCAGGAGTTCGAGAC